GACACTAGCGGTAGTGATGATACCAGCGGTACAGATGGCTGCAGGGCCAGCGATGTGACAGCTGGAACGGGAGCTGAGAGAATGCCTGTATCCAAGGGCAAAGATGACACTAATGGCAAGGAAGATACCAATGGGACCGATGATACCAACGGGAGAGACGATACGAGCGGTATGGATGATACTACCGGAAGGGATGATACTAATGGCACGTTCGACACCAAAGGTACAGCCGAGGTTATCCCACCCAAAAGACCTCCTCCTCCTCCACTCGTTGGACAAGCGCTAACGGTACTTGTAGCCAGTGCAACACTGGTAACGACCTGTTGCTGTGTAGTTGTTCCAGTAGGAGTAAAGACGGTTGTCGTAGCTACAATTGCACCACCAGGTGCAAGGATAGTTTGCGTTGTCGTTGTAGTGACAAGAGCCGTTGTGGTAGCGACAGTAGCGGGTGCGGGCGATGCACCGAATGTGGCTGTAAACGCGCGAGGAAGGGGAGGTGGCAGTAAACCGCCAATAACATTGTTGATGGTCAAAGCACCAGTGTTCGGGAAGTTGGTGAGAGCAGCACTGCCACAGAAGATACCGGTGTAGGTTGCCGGGGCGCCGGACGTGGCGTACGAACAGGTTTGAGTGTATTGTGCTAAGGTGTTCGAGATGACAGGCGTGAAGCTAGGCTTCGTTCCAGCGAAACATGTTGATGTACCGGACATGTAAGTCATTTGAATGCCGAAGACGTCGCCTGCTACATGTTTGGAATAATCGTAGCTGAAGGTTGGAACTGCCGTCCCTATAAGAGATGGCAGTCCAGCGGCCACGAGCGAGCAGCCCGACATGGCTGTGATCGTGCGAGACTAGCGAGTGTATCAATGGTGAAGAGAAAGTAAAGGATGAGCGACTGGATAGACTTTGAGAGCGAAAGTGCACCTCTTTATAAGTCTCTTGAACTGATAAAAAGAAGGCAAAATTACCTTCATACCAGCGCTCGGCAGTATGAAACGATGACGGGTACATAATCTGGAGTTGGGCAGTGTCGAGACCCCTACATCATGGTAGGGGTAATTCTGTCTTGTATGGAACGAAAACGCGTCTTCCATTGATTATCCAACAATTATTTAGCGGGGGGGCCGCATATAATTGACGCGTTTTCGATCAGTGCATCTTTTTCAAGGAATTCCTGATGAAATGTTGTTAGATAATACTAGCTGCAGGGCCCCGGGTTCCGTACTGATACTCAGCATGCCTACATCAATTTTGAGACTCCTGCATGGCAATATCATAAAGCTATGCAGAATGGAAGGGCAAAGACGAGTTGCATGAGAGCATTGGTCCACGCCTCTAATATTTTGCGAGTATGGAGGTGACATGTTTCAGAATTTCACCCACGTTGTATGCCCTGTGATCTCCCATTCACAAGATGGCAAACATGCTATACCAAACAGAGATTGGGAACGTTACTACTAAGAAACACGTTAGTAATGGTTCCTCTGTTTTTGTATACTTTCACATGCATAGGTGTCTAAGTGAGAGCCACTGACCCACCCAAGGAAAAGCTGTGCATATCGCCATATCAAAATGAGTTGGTAGAACCGAGTCTTGGATCTGCAATCGCCTGAGTATCCACTGAATCGGATCTTTAACTACGATCACAGCTGATAGGTACATATGAACGAACTCGTACACGTCTTTGCATAGTATTATGAATGCATCAGCTTCATGTATGAGACAACTGGTGGCGAACGGTGTGTAGTACTAGGCATATCATGAAGCAAGGGTGCCTGGAAGATTGGAAGGATCCGGTTTGCACATTGAAAGATGATCTGCAGAGTATCCCAGTGTCAGCGGAAACTTTTCGTTCATTCTCAGAACCAGCAGCCAGAATGTGACATTCCAATTGGAACCGTAAAGGTCTTTCCTTTCCTTTTTGCATACTTTGATGACACAAGACATCCGAAATCTGCCTTTGCAGTCCCTATGTTCCTTACGCTTTTTATTATCAATCGTGAATGTCACGCGCTTAGACAATAGGCACTTTCACAAGATTTATCAGCTCATGTTGGGTGACACTCGTTGTTCTGCGGTCATGAGCCAATACAAAATCTCGCATTACAAAGATGTTTTGCATCGATTTTCAGGGACGCAACTGCCCTGGCAATCTTGACCAATACCTTAATGTGACGGCGCGGTGAGCTGTAATACTCAGCACAGCCCGTGAAACTCCGACTCTGGATTAGGCAATCGAGTCCTTATGGTATTCTAAGGGTCTCTAGCACATGCGGGGCTTTTAAACCCTGCTGAAGGCAATGAAACACTGGATTAAATATACCATCGAAACAGCGCGTTGAGAGGAGTGTTGTGGTACTACTCTGGAGAGAGCCAGTCAAGGGAATATCGCAACCGATTAGAATAACGGTAAGAGGGAAACTAGATGGTGCACATGGCCACTTGTGGAAAAAGAAGGATGGGATGGCTTATTACAAGAAGGCGAGTGGAAGGCAAGTGGAGGAGCGAGGACGAAAAGGGTGCGTGTTCTGGAAGCGGTTAGTAGTACGTCTCCGTGATGTCATGTAGCGCGCGACGCGTACCACGCGTCGAAGCACTTCATTTTTTTTTCGTATCACAACTTTCAGCGCAGATGTAACGAATCTGCAATCGGTTTTACAAGCGGCAGATAGCCAGACATGCAGCGGCTATGGTAATACAGGGCATCCATGACGTAGCTAGCATAGACTACTCGAGACACCTTTGCTCAGTCTCCTATCTCACATACTCTTACGACTTTATCCTCAAATGCCTTCCTTCTCAAATTAGTCTGCGCTTTGCGATGCATCATTACTTCTGCCCTCCTCGAGATCAACAGCTTGATACCCGTTACTTTCCCAAAATGGTTTCTCCTTTCTTTTACTACCAGTCAACGAAGCTGTCAGCCCGCAAGGGTCGATAAAAGTCATCCACCAAGGCATATCGTCCTTCCAACCAGGGCCCTGTAACTCAGTCCGACCATTCTGTGCCACGTATACATGGTAGTCTTCCGGCAGATAGTGACGTGGATGTCGGTAGTTCCATAGTATGGAGTTTACCAGCATGGGACTTGCTTCGAAAACCCAGAAGAACCATTCATACCTCAAGACGGAAGGGATTGTCTCAGGATCCCAGTCTGGTGGTGAGTGCTCATAAATGGCGGTGGTTCCAAAATGTTCGACTATGCGGTAAACGGTGCGAAGGAGGATGAGCGTCATGCTCAAGTACAGCGTCACGAGCGGGCCTCGTACCTTGCGCGTGGTGATGCCTCCCCTGATGCATCGTGCATGGAAGATACCGGCGATGATGCAGAATGCAGTAATGACGCCAACCTGCAAGACGAGTGATGCTTTCAAAAGGACGTCTCCCCTCTTGATGTATGACTCGGGAGCGTTTGGGTTTGCCAGCCAAGCAACACCTATAGCATTAAGGACTTCGACAATGCTGGACACGAAGCCAAAGGTCGTCAGAGTGCGGCCTGGATGGAGGGGCGAGTAGTAAGGGACGTAATAAAGGATACGTCCAAGTACGTGGTAGTTGGCTAATTCCAGGATGGGACTGTCTCATGGTGTTAGTCTTGGAGGATCCTGCACGAGTATCAGTTATCACTTACGGAGCGCAGTATATGAGTATGGTGCTCGCAATGTATATATTAACGTCTTTGTAATGGATTGCGCCGTAGGAGCGAAGGGCGAATCCTGCAGTGAAAAGAAGGCCGCACACGGGATGAAGGCCTGCGACCTTCCATGCCTTGTACTTGATACATTGCCACACGTGCACGATTGTAGCGACCGCGAACCAAGCCGTGAACATTGGTGGAGCCCAATTGACTGGGTCGTAGAGGTAAACACTACCTGGGACTATCTCGCCGTTGCTCATTGTAAGGATGGATGAGAGATTTGGATGCTAACGATGGAAAAGGCTGGCGATCAAACACACATCGCTACTCTTATATCCTAAGTAACATATTCAATATGGAGACAGCCGCTATGAGATAGCCCTACTGTTATGCATTTCTCAAAAAGGCTTATTGCCAGGCCAAGACGGATGGAAAAGGTGCGAAGCATTCTACGAGCGTACAATCCTTAGGTAGTTGCGACTAACGAATTTGCAGCCTTATGGTAGTTGCAGAGTTGTTCCTTGAACAGGTTAGGGTGGTCATGTGTGGCTGTGTGGTAACTTCAACATAATTAGTATAACCGCGGGTAACCAGGCATGACGTCTTTGCAGTGAACTGAAGACTACGAAGCGAGCTGTATGCGAGTCGCTTATTATTTCTTGACTTGGAGGTCTGTCAAGGCGTCTCCCGCGAGTGCTTAGAGAAAGCGCCTGGGATTACTCCACATTTACTCCTGTTGATGCAGATTGACTTGAAACACGAGCGTTGAGTGGCTACGTAGATATCAGCAACTGCACCGTTGGCTTGGCGATCGACACGTTTGCAGCCTCTTACCTACGAGATTCCTTCGTAGAACGCAAGCAGCAAGTGCTTAGGATTCCAACAGCCTCACAGCGAGTGAGTAGAGCCGCCCCCACCGGCGTCACCGATGGGAGCAAAGTTGAAGGCCCCTTGTCACGTAAGCAGGCAGATTGCGGCTAGTCCCGATACGGCAGTAACGATGGCCAAGGATTGGGGGCCAGTTATCAGTGCTCATCCTCGGCGGGGCATTGCATCTCTGAGCCACAACAATGAGATCCAACCCTCTGTGGTAAATAAGACAGCAAAGATGCTCGCTGCTGCGTGGTGCCTAACCTTGCCGCAACGGCCGCAACAGCACGTGTGGGTACCTCGAGGTCCAGACTAAGCCAGACACCTACTCGGAGACATCAGTGTTCCGCTTGCATCGATAGCAAACAAAACACTTTGTCGAGTCAATATGGGCTTGTCCGAAAAGGGAGAAACAAAAGCAACCAGACAATGCTGGGAATGCTCGAAACGCCGGCTTGTATGTGACTGCACACTACCACACTGTAGAAAGTGCCAAAAAGCCGGACGGCAATGCTCTGGCTACGACGATACAAAACCACTCCAATGGGTCCAGACAGGCATGGTGACATCAAGACGGAGAAAGAAGAAAGACAACAGCCCGCCAAAAGTGTACGTTGCGACTCCAACGTCGAGCCAGGATCGGCAGATCTCGTGTCAGGATGGTGGAATATCTGAGCAGGAGTTCTACGGACGCATGTACGAGAACGATTACATCTGCGAGCCGGTGGATTACGAGGACGCTTTGACTTCGTTCTATCAAAAGCAGGAGGGTGTACCCAAAGTCAGCGCGCCAGAATTGCACGTATCCGCAATCAAAATGACGGCTTGTGCTAATGAGGCCGCTCGGATATTCAAGACTTGGGGAAGGGCCAAGATTGAAGACGTGGTCGAGAAGGGATTGCATGACGAAGCTGCAAAGATACTGCGATCGAAGCGAGACCCTCTCCGACGCTTGAAACGCTTAGTGGTCGTTCTGCACAAGTACGAGGTGCCAAACTACGCATATCTGGCCAACGAGACGTCGGACGTTGTTCAGGCTGTTCAGTATTGTAAGTCTATACCCAAAAGTTAATGACAAAGGTACGCGGCTCACAGCTCCAGACAATGGCAGAATTCGAGCGCAGTACAAGGCATACGGGGAGCTGGTACCCAATCCCGCCATCGTCGTCTTTCCGCCTCAAGTGCTGCATCTCCTCACGCCAGCGATTCACCACACGTTAGTATGCATATCCCTCAATCATTTTGTCCATGCCCAGCCATCTGGCGCCGATCGCGCGATCACAAGCATGAACCGATCAAAAATCTATCACCACCGAGGCGCCGCCTTGCGATCACTGAGCGAGTACATTGCACAAGACAAGACCAGGTGTTCGGACATGACCATCACCAGTATCCTGATGTTCATGTGTCTGGAGGTATGTTGATTAGCATGGTTTGTGTACGTGGTAGGGGGCATGGGCTAATGCTTGGATATAGCTCCAAAACCCTAGCTTCACGGACTGGCGTTCACATGTCAATGGCATGAAGCGACTGATTGACCTGCGGGGCGGACCTAAGCAGCTCATGAAAGATGCCCCTCATCTAGTGCCATCACTAGTGATATACCTACTGTAGGTACCTTGGGCTCCGTGCATAAACTCTACTGGCTAACGCAAGCATCTAGCATCATCTCGCTCGCCAACACATGCAGCCCATCGTGGGACCAAGTCGATATTACAAGCGCAAACGGGACGATTATCGAGGACTTGAGCAGCGTCTACGATCTCATCTTTCCGTATACATTATGTCCTCGGGAGCTCTATATCGAGATACTCCAGATTGGCCAGCTACGTAGCAAGGCATCTGCGGCCATGTTGTTGTACGATGCCGATCCAGCGCATTCTCTAGAGGCGCACGACCTGCTGGCTCGTATTGATGCATTCTCTCCCGAGGACTGGGCGCAAGCCGGACCCCTCTACTCAGAATGGCTACTGCTGGGACAGATCTACCAGGCTGCTGTATCACTCTACTGCAGCATGTCGCTGCAATCGCTGACCGTGCTGCCGCCGAGCATGTCGCTGCAGAAAGCGCAAGAAGAGAAGGGAAATGTGCTTCTGAGCAGTGTGCGCATTGCGCTCCAGGATCCCAGGATGGCCAGACACATGGTTTGGCCTCTGGCGGTGGCAGGGGTCGAGGGTATCCATCGCAGCGAGGCGACAAAAGATTGGATTGAAGCGAGTCTCGGAGATCTCAGTAGGCTGTTGGGGACGAGTTGTCCGCTTAAGGCGTCCGCAGTGCTGAAGAGATACTGGAAGAGCGGGGTACCGGGGTGGGATAGCTGCTTCGACCGGGCATACGCATTTATTATCTAGAGACCAAACCGTCACATCCATATCCCACGCAATCTGTGTGTATATGTATGTGGAGGGGTGTATTGGTCGCAATGTAAAGATTTACTATACAAAGAGCAGCTACAATGGCAGACTCTCTTCATAACGCCGAACCATGCTGTTTTTCTCTCGTTCCTTCGTGAGTGGTGTTGAGCATTGACCGAGGCACGCGATCAATTTTTTTTTCATCCAGGTGCACCACCTTGCACAACTCCCAACTACCGCTCCAGCCCTTTGTTGTCTGGATCCTCATCACCCTTTGTCTCCTTGACATCCTTGTAGGGCCGCCCAGCGTAGAGCATGTATCCCTTCTCTTCGATGGTGCCTGCCTTCTCGTCGGCCTCGGCACGGCCCTGGCCAAAGGCGCCCGTTTCCAATTGGCCCTGGACAGCGATAGGCCTGTTGCCGCGAAACCGCTTGCGCATATCAATCATGCCCTTTTTGCACTCTGCATAGCCCTTTTGGAGCTGCTGGCACTGGGTGGGCAGCGTGTATTTGAGGGGCGGACGCAGACAGTCGCCGGGCGAGTGCCGCTCAACCATTATGCAGTCGCTGTTCTGGAGGCAAAAAGCCAGGGCGGCGCCTGCGATTGGGTACGTTAGCCGCCCGAAGTTTCACCATGGCGAGGAGAAAGAGGCCATACGGATGTCTTTACATGACTGCGGCATCGTGGTTATCAGCAGATGCGGCGGCGACGGCGGGCGACAGCGAACGACGTGGAGTGATGGCAGTGGAGCACACGGCAGCGGTGGCATCCAGGCCATGTGCGTCGACGCGGCGCGAGGCAGCCGGGCCCCGTACCGACGGCCGTTAGCCAGGCTTGGGCAAGATGGGCTGTCACATGTCAAAGAGCAAGACCATGGCTGTGCAGTAGTGTCGGTCAACGTCATTTTTTTCCCCATCGCACACGGCTGGACTCCCATGGCTGGGCCACCGTCTTTCCCAGACAGGCTCAAGCTTCGACGTTTCTCAGGCCCCGGCGCGCGCAGAGAGGGGCTATGCGTTGGCGCTGCAGTCGACTGAGCATTTGTCCGTTGCCATAACACTCTCATCTCTCCCGTCCCGCTCCCCACCCCCCCAAGCATTTCGTTGCTACCGCCATCGCCATGGCGCTGCATATTCCCTTTCTCTCGCGCCTGCACATCCGCGAGTACATTGCCCTGCTCCTGTCCATCTCCCTCATCATCCTCGAGTCCTTCATTTCCGTCATCACCCTCGCCCTGCCGACCCCCATTATCCACCTCTGCTACCGCCTCACCCGCCGCCTCTTCGACTACTGGTCCTCGCCCTCGTCCAAGCGCTCGCGCGATAAGAAAAAAGCCGTCTGGAGCTCCATTGCCAATGCCTCCGACTTTGCCGAGCTGTGCCAGCTCTACGGATACGAATGCGAGGAGCACATTGTCCAGACGGGCGACGGCTATCTGCTGGGCCTGCACCGCCTGGCCTGGAAAAGGGGCGAGGAGAATGTGCGAGTCAACCCCCGCGACCGCGCAAAGGGCCAGAAGAAGAAGGTTGTCTATCTGCACCATGGCCTCATGATGAATAGCGAGGTGTGGGTGTGCCTGACGGCCAAGGAACGATGTCTGCCCTTTGAGCTGGTAGAGCGCGGCTACGACGTCTGGCTCGGCAACAATCGCGGCAACAAGTACTCCAAGAAGAGTGTGCATGCGCCCCCGACATCAAGCAGCTTCTGGAATTTCAGCATGGACCAATTCGCCTTTCACGACATTCCCGACTCGATTTCATACATTCTCGAGACGACCCACCAGCCGTCCTTGTCGTACATTGGCTTCTCCCAGGGAACCGCTCAGGCTTTTGCGACGCTATCCATACACCCGACGCTCAACGAAAAGATCGATGTCTTCATTGCGCTGGCGCCAGCCATGTCGCCCAAGGGTGTTGCATCTGGAATCGTCGACGCCTTTGTGAAAGCCTCCCCGAACATCCTGTACCTTGCGTTTGGTCGCAAATCCATTCTCCCCTCGACAACCATGTGGCAGTCTATTCTATATCCGCCCATCTTTGTCCGTGTGATTGACAAGTCCTTGAGGTTTCTCTTCGGGTGGACCGCTGCTAACATTCTGCCTGAGCAAAAGCTCGCCGCGTATCCCCATCTCTACTCGTATAGTTCGACCAAGAGTGTTGTCCACTGGTTCCAAATCATCCGCAACGGCACGTTCCAGATGTATGACGACGATGATTCGAACCCAATCATCTCTAACCGATCCAAGTACTACAAGGTTGCCAAGTTCCCCACTAAGAATATCAAGACACCCATTGTGCTGGTCTACGGTGGGTCTGATAGTTTGGTCGATATCAACATCATGTTGAAGGAGCTCCCCTCTCACACAATTGCCAAGGAGATCTCCCACTACGAGCATCTGGACTTTTTGTGGGCAGAATCTGTCAACACTCTGGTCTTCCCACACGTCTTTGAGTATCTGGAAAAATTTGCAGCCACGGAAAGCGAGACCCCCAATGGCACAAAGGAGAAGAGGCGGTCACCAATCACATACAGAAGTCTCCTACCAGGAATCGATACTCTGCCCGAGCAAGAAGGATACGACGACGTAGGAGACGAAAGGAAGGTAGCTTCACCCACCCTCCGACCCAGGCGAGGCTCTCCCCCCACCCGACGAGCAATCTCCTACCATGGCCCATCCTCAGCTGACAGTCCCTCGGTGATTACCAGCCCCGTTATAGCGTCGAGAATGTCCTACCCAAGTGCCTACAAACTGAACACAGAGGAAATCTTCCCATCCATCCGCAGCAGAATCATGTCGCCACCACCGACAAACCGCGTCTCACTCACTTTTGATTCTCCCGAAAACTCGCAGACCACGGCCCAAACCTCTACCTCTCGCCCCGAAGGCTGGTGGTCCTCGGACGACGTCGCCGGCACCGACCCCTCTCAATCAACCACCCCTGCGAGTCCCACTCCCGCTAGGCGACTCAGCATTGGCAGCCAGCAAAGCACAAAAAGCATGGCGGGCAAGTTCGGCGCCAAAGGCATCACCGTTGGCGCCAGCAAGGCCGTCAGCGCCGTATCAACCGGCGAGGGCATCGGCGAGGGCCACAACTCTGCTACCACCACCACGGAGAATAAGAAGCAGCGACGCAACACACTAAAGAAGAAACAACCACCCCCTTCTCAGCCTTCTAGCTGACGTTCGCGAAAACGGCCTGATCAAAAGAGAAGGCTGTTTTTGAAAAAATTGATACGGAAATGTCGAATGAAGTGAACGACCGAGAAGGGGAGACGATTGAGGGGACAAACCAAACTAGCATTTTTTTTCTTCTTCAGGTTCTCTCTCGTTTTCTCTTCGCTCTTTTTGGATATTTACGGTTTACTACACAGACTTTTTTTTTACTTAGACTGAAAGGGGAGATGTTTTTTTGCCCTCCCCACCCCCGTTTTGCCATCCCTCCTAGCGCTTTTTTTATATATATACACATGTCTCGATCGTTATGAGTCTGAGTCAGGGGTAAAAAAAATTGATATCATTGCCAACAAGGATTCTATTTCTCTTTCTGACTTGTTCTTCTTCTCCTTCTTTGTCTTTGTCGTTAATCCCAGTGAACAAAGATTGACACGCACGCTCTTGCACGTGAATTTTTTGCTTTTTTTGCAACTAAAATCACTTTTTTTGAGGAATATCATCATTTGTCGTTATTCATCACCACATCCCCAGCCATTACCAAAATATCTTCCTCGGCTACCAATAACCCAGGGCGATGTGTGATCTGGAGGGACCTGCACATAACGACTCAAGTCGATCCTTCTTCTTCTTCTTCTTCTTTTTTTCGACTACACGTGTGCATGAACTAAGTCAATCACAAAGCATACATGGGTGCGCCCTGATGCATTTACAACCATGACTAGCTAGTTGGTGTGCTTTTCTTCGGCATAATTTGCATCCTATTTCGACAGTTGGGTACGGCCGGTGGGATGGGGACTTTTTCTCTGTCCTTTTTTTTTTCTTTCTCCCATGGTTTGCATTGAGGTTTAATGGGGGGGTTTGGTTGGTGAGTTGGGGGAGGGGGGTGGAGAAGGGGGTTAGTGAACTCTGGGAACTGAGGGAGTGACAGGTTGGGGGTTCCGAGGTTTTGCCTGGGCTTGGCGGGAGGTGGGGGAGATTGCGAGGTGGTATTGTTTGTATTGGTGGTGATGGTGAGGTTGGATGTCACGTTCTTTTCCGACCTTCAAGATTGATTTGGGCTAATGTGTGGAGGTGGCAAGGATTGACATTTGCCTAGATACGATAGCCATGATATTTCTCTCTCTCTCTTTGCTTATTTAGTTCGTATATCAATCATGTGATATCGCGTCTTTCATCGCATGTTCACGCTTGGACGTCTAATCCAACTACGCACTACTGTGTATACAGCTATTCTAGGCTCGTTTCGCATCCCCATCTCCCTCTCCCTCCCTCTCCCCTCCCCTTCATGCACCTGGCTCCCTCACAAGAAGGCCTAACGCCAAGACCCGCGAGTAGTGACATTCTACACAAACCCGTACAGCCACAGTGTGAGTAGCATCGCAGGGATACCATCAATATTCAGCCTCACAACTCACCGCTTCCCAACCCACGGCTTCCCAACCCACAAACACAGTGCCCAAACGCTCGGTTGGAGGTGAGGAGAGGTACTGCTGATACCGTTGCAAGCAATGATCACCATGTTCCCATACCTTGATGGTTCAAAAGCCAAGAAGAGAGGGGCTACTCGAACTGTCTCAGCCCCGTTGCTAAACTGGGTTTAGCGCACAAACCTGAGGCACGGGGACCACCGACACTTTTGGTGCCTCAAACACTTATCGTGTCTCAGCCTTCCCCCTCCACCCCTTTGCCGTTGCGCCGAACCCGCAACTTTGTACTACATACACACGCGCTCGTTTTTAGGGTTCTCCCTTTTCCCGCGCGCGCGCAAGTGGCAGCGGGACGATAGGTGCAGTTGACAGGCGTAGCGCTGCTGCGCTCTGCAGGGCCGAGAACCTTTTTTTGCAACGCACGATGCAGTTGGGGTAATCTATCTCGGACCTCGCACGTTCGCGGACTGTGTGTTAGTTTGCATTGAAGGGTGGAATTTGGCAAACCGGCCTTGCGCACCCTGGTGTCGTTGCTACGCACAAGAGTCAAGAATGAGCAGGTGGAGTGTGCATGTGCGTGTGTGTGTGTATATGTGTGTGCATTGCACGAACAGCCCGTGACCACGGAAAAATCGGATAGGCAAACGATACTTAAGACGTCCTTTTAAGGGAAAACTAGACTGCAAGGAGTACTTTGCGACGTTGTATTGCCCAGATTCGACTCCATGCTTCTTGGTAGGGGTTGTGCAGCCGTTGTTCCTGGCTAGCAAGAAACGCCTTGGCTATCGCAGATTCCTGCGGGGACCCTGTCCCGATGGAGGAATTGGGGGGCTAGGCTGAGTGATGTGATATTATGGGAATCCTATAGTTATGTACTTCCTGCCCTGACCCTGGTGCAGGTATCTGACTAGCTGGTTTACTTCACTCTCTTTTCGAGTCGTGGGTTGCGCACTGAGCCTCGTTCTTTCGTTCGGTCGGTCGTTCGTTCATTTCATTTATTATCGTGGTCTCTCGCTGGCGAGCATCAAGTTGGTTTGATATTGTGTTTTTTTTTGTTGTAAGATTTCTCAGACGCTCTTTTGCACAATAGCTTTTGTGTTGGTCTCTGTCACTCCTTTTTTGATTTTGTGTATCGGCCTTGTTGCGCCTTTTGTTTTTTTGTTTGTTACACCACCACTGTCTCTCTTTTCAGTTGCGTCGAGGTCGAGGTTTGTGCAAGAGCCATCGATTCAGGGAATCTTTCTAACTCCTCTTTGGATTTCTTGAGTGCTTACAGTGCGCGCCAATATGCATTTTCTACACGCGCTTGTCGTCATTGTTGCGACATTGGGGAACAATGTCGATGCGATTGCAGAGCGCGGCTTGGAGGCTAAACCGCAACGCATCTTGAGGGCTGCGACGAAACGGTCCGATCTATATCGAAGAGGCGTTCGCATTACCAAGAGGTTCGAGACGGAAATGGCTTATGTTGAGAGTAGGTTGCTTACTCAGGTTTATGCGTACCCAGGCTGACGATTGATTAGATCAGAATGCCTGGAGCGATGCATCGACTTTTGCTTCTCAGGTCAGGGTCAGCTCGCAGAAGCCAGTTTTTACCCTCGAAGAGTATGAGCATCACTTGAAAGCTGTCGAGTGTGGGAACAATGCTATGAAATTGCATTTTGTTGATGCCTCGTCTGCCCGAGATGCCCGAGCCGCCTATGGTGAAGACGGTGGCTTGATCATCACTTCACATGCGAGCTGCAATGGCGAAGGCGAGCGCGAAGTTTATCGGTAAGTTGCATATCATTCTAAGAGACCGCACCCTGACAATCTCAGTATCACCGATGTATCCTTCGCCGAGGATGGAGAAGCACTCGACCTATCCGTCAAGAAGACAACATGGCGACAGGCTTTTGACCGCATGGACGTGACATTCGGTCACACCACTGATGACCACATTGTTCGCCGCCATGCCGACTTTGCCATGATCCGGAGCAAGCGCCAGAACAGGGTTGCCATTCCTCAGAACGTATCAGAAGACGTCAACACTGCTCTTTTCGACTTGAATTCCGAGATAGTCGACAAGACTTTTGCCGTTAAAGATTTCCTTGAGATCCTTGGAGCTGCAGTTCCCCTCCCTTCAGATTTGCCCGTCGCTGTCCCTATTGAAATCGGCTGCAAGCGATGTGCTACCACTGGACAGTTGGCACTCAACCAGGGTGCTTTCAACATTGACCTATCGCAAATCGACCTGATCCCCGATATATTTCAAGGCGGCGACGACGGAAAAGAGATCTCAAGCGTTATCTCGGGCGGTTTTGTGGAGCTTGTAGCTACTGGCGTAGGCGCGCGATTGGATCTGTTCGCGCGACCATCTGCCAACGGCGCGTTCGAAATTGCTCTAATTCAACTTCCCATCGCCGGCTTTGTTATCCCCGGAATTGGAAATGCAGGCGCTATCTTCGAGCCCAGGATCGCAGCTGAATTTGAGGTCAGCGGTGGGCTTGAGGTCAACTATGGACTCGAACTCAATGTGCCTGATAATTCCAGGCTCCGGGTCGAGCTCACCAATCTCGGTGCTAGCAGTCTTGTCGGTTTCCAGGACACCACTCTTACCCCCCTGCCTGTCACTGTGAACATTACAGACGTTGATGTTACCCTCGGTCTTACCTTCAAGCCTGCCATCCCAATTGGTTTCGATTTCCTCGGCCAGTTGTCTGCGGAGGTCACTGCTACTTTGGACTTGCCTCGTCTGGATGCAAAGCTCTCGACCAACATTGCGGAGAATTGTGCTAGCGGCGACAACGCCACTGTTCCATCTGCACCATATGCAAACAACACGAAGCAGCTGTCTCCTGATCTTATTCAGCTGGGTCCTATTGCCTTAGTCGAAGCTAATGTCTCCATTTCCTGCGATCTCAGCTTTGACGTCTCCATTCCGATCCTGCCACCACCATTCAACAAGGTCAGCGTCGCACGAAACGTTTTCAAGGCAGAATTCCCTCTCGTCTCGGAGTGTAAGTCGCCAGAGACTGCTTTCGATGATGCATCGGGCATCGTTGTTCCTGCGCCCCCGGTTGTTGCGCCCCCAGCTGAGAGCGAATCCGTCGCTCTGGAGCCTCCAGCGAACGCTACTTATGTGCCAGTCCACACAGTCCCAGTGGTGAACTACACAATCTCTTCGACGGTAGCCTTATCTGCTGCTACCACCCTAAGCAGCGTAGTCTACACAGCTCCTGCATATATACCTGCTCCTGGTAATTCAGCCAGTACAAATTGCTCAACTACCCCAAGCTATACAGCTACCCCAGACGTGAGTGCGACGGCCAGCATGACTAATGCGAGTATATCCACAGCCCCGTATCTAAACATTTCCGCTAGTTACACTAGCGCTACTTACCCAGCGCCCTCTGAACCGGCTTCGACCACCATAATGGCCAGCAACAGCAGCAGTAGTACCGCGCTCGCAAGCTCTTACGTCAATTCTAATTCTACGGCGATGATCAACTATCCCATTCCCGTCATGTCGACGTCGTGCGAAAGCAGTTCGACCAGCATAATCACCACCACGTCCTACATTACTTACAATATCTCAAGGACGAGCACGACGTCAGCTGCCGAAGCACCGACGCTGGATGCTGGATTCTCCTTCAGTCTCTTTTCAACAGTTAATCCAGAGGCGGTTGCTCCGACTAGTATGGCGGAGACTTCATCTACACCAGAGTCCACATCTACACCAGAGTCAATACCTGCCTCTTCTTCGCCTGCTCCTGTTACCACTTCATCTGAGGAGTCTGCATCTTCGACTTCCTCACCTGCTCCCGCCGTGACTTCATCGCCCCAAGAGTCCTCGGTGCCTACGCCGTCTTCTATTCCCGCTGTTTCTTCCGCTATTTCCTCCGCCGTCTCTACCGTTGTCTCCTCCGCTGTCTCTCCATCTTCTACTCCCGCCGAGTCCTCCACTACTCCCTCGGAATCCACTCCCGCTACCTCCTCAGCTGCCTCCTCACCATCTTCACCCGCCGCAACATCAACCCCAATCGCTTCAAGCCAACCATCCGCATCCCAAACACCATCGCGATCGTCCCTGGCGCCACTGCCACCACCAATACCTTTCATGAGTGGCCCTCTCCCATCGCTAGCAGCCACGCTCAGCGAAGCTCCCGGTTTCTTGGTTCCAACCAATGCGAGTGCCCTGCCTGTGGTGCAAACAAGCATCGTACCATTTACCGGCGCCGCGTCCCGGGCTGTACAGATACCATACCTGGCAAGTATCCTGAGTGTGGTAGTTGGGGTCGTTGGCGTGTGGATTGTTTAGGAGTGGACTTGGTAGTCGAGAGCTTAACAATTGCCATTCTCGGCTTTTTTATAATTCTTTATTTCCATTTTGGATACCCCTTTTTTTCGTTCTAGCGCTATTGATGACAAGGCCTATTTTTTTGTTTCTATTTTCGTGAGCAATGTTTTATGAGGATTTACCTTGGTTTTCATGAGCTTGGTGAGAGGGTTTGTGGATGTAGGTATGGATTGTATGCATGATAATAGTGTCAATAAAAATGGGGTTGTTTTGTGCATCTCCCATACAGATTGATCATGTTTGTTCTTATAACAAGTGCCGTGATGTTCAGCTTTCTTGCTATACATTTAGCCACAAACTATCAGCCCCGCGCTAGTCCCCATGCAAATCTAGCGGCTTAATACATAGGCTGTGCCTTCTTCTCAAATCTTTCTGCCTGACAGCCTGCTTACTCCTACATTCTTTGCTAAATTTACAGTGAGTTATCCAGGTACCAAAGATGTCTTCTCATGAGGAATTGCTCTCCCATAGCTGCAATCATTGTGTTAAGAATCCTGGTATTTTGGTGATGAGGGACCATACAAATGATCTGTCTCAATCCGTTTGGAAGAACTGCCTATGGTATAAGCTTGCATACGCTTCATTGGACAGGTCCTTGATGACGATGCTAGGGCTTACGCCATTGTCGAGCCCAGATTCCGTATGGCTGTGGAAAAATGGCACTGGTCACTTCGATTCCTCTGATTCGTTTGAATGGATAGTTCCAAGTCTCGGTACATACTCATAGGATAGATTCGAGATGCAAGGCTGATTGATGAATAGATGAATCTCAATCTGCCTACTCTCTGGACAAGAAAAGTCATATGAATTTGTTCTCCAAAGACACGTCGTCAACTGATAGCTTCAACACTGTAAGGAAGTGGATAAGTGAATGCGGGTCAAAACATGGACCTTGCAATACCAAGGATCGGAATGTAGAATCACTCGAAGGAATACGATTTCTCCGCATTTACGATCATGCGCTTAAACTAGAGGAGTCACCGACACCAGCTCGATATGCATGCTTGAGCCACTGCTGGGGTGATGGGCAGAACCTCCTCCAAACAACCCAAGAAAATAGGCGCATACACGTGTTTTCAGGAATCCCGATCGAAACTCTTCCAAAGACTTACAGGGATTCTGTAGTTGTCTGCAAAGAGCTTGGGATCGATTATTTATGGATTGACAGTCTATGCATCGTCCAGAATAATGAGCAGGATTGGAACCAACAAGCTTTGCGTATGGCAGATGTTTACCAAAACGCGTACATTACCATTGCAGCCGTCGCAGCCCGGAACTCAGAAGAAGGTCTGTTCAACGACATCTCTGATCGGCGAATCAGTTATCCTCTGCCTGATCATCCCTGGGTACATGTCCGGAGACGCATTCGAGTTCCTTCAAGAAAGCCTCAGTTTATGGATATGTTATCAGATGACGGATTTCCGTTATACAAACGAGGTTGGGTGTTTCAAGAACTCAGCTTATCGCCACGCGTCATACATTATGGCCGCGAGGAATTGATTTGGCACTGTCGGGCGAATTCAAGATACGAGGGCGTTCCAAAGGGATTCTATAATTTGCCAACACTTGTACGCGCAGACTTGAGGGGCTTTTCAACACAGCTTATGTGGCACAAAATTGTAGCATCCTTTTCGTGGCGAAAATTAACATTTGAGAAGGATAGGCTACCTGCTATTGCAGCCTTCGCGACCCTAATACAACCGCAAGACTGCGAAAAAAGATATATCCACGGGCTTTGGGAGGAAACCTTACGCTCTGATCTTTTGTGGTCCGTGGACACATATGGAGCCGGGCAAAATACCCTCGGGTGTAGATCGAACAGGTTACCAAGCTGGTCATGGACATCAACTGCACGCCCTGTGCAGTGGTGTAATACCCCATACCTTGATAATTGCCAGGAAATTCCCTATACAAAGATCAAAGAGATTTTGTACAGTACACGAGGGCCAGTCATTCTTGGGGATGCCAGGCAAGCGACCATCGTAATCCAAGCTCCTATTTTGAGGCTTTGTGATATCAAATTTGTAAGGTATTCGTGTGATTTGATAGAGAACCTGCATCATGGTCTTGGGTGGTCCGCACCTCAATGGGACACACCCATAGATGCTGAGATTTACGGGAAACAGGACACGAAAGCACTCGCTATACCTTTGCTATCAATGAAAAGGAACGTTGTCCGGCGAGATGTGTGCCAATATAGAAACGCACTGCTGATCGCAGAAACCAGCGAAATTGGAAAGTACAAGAGGCTAGGAGTAGTTACAATTGATGTCGACAACGACGTTGATTTTGAGACTGCGGTGCTCGATTCACGAAAAGGACTCTCAGTGGATGAAAAGGCGACGCGAGCCACAGCAAGGACAGAAAGATACGATCGTTTTATGCAGGTTCTTGGAGAGATGGAAACACATACGATCACCCTTCTATGATTGTATATTGATAACTCAGACAATCAAGGACATGGGTATATAACAAGACTTTGCTGTTTGGATAACAAAAACTCAATGTCATCAACAGTTTGTTACTCCCTACTTCCTGCCGTTTTACACGTTTGCTACTCGAAGCAAAACATCTTTTGTCTCTTTCCGGATCTTATCCACGATATCTTTGGCACTCTGAACTTCATTCACTAACCCCACGCCTGTACCTGCCCATATCGCCGCACGGCCTTGCAGTCCTGTATCGTATCCTTTGTCTTCGCCTGCAACCTCCTGATTGTGCAATTTTTGAATCTCCTCCAGACTCATCCCGCTCGCAAAATCCCTGTGACTCTGCGCAACCAAGCCTCGTCCATCATATAACTCAGGCCATATATTCGGACCTCGCAACTGATCAAACAATTTCGACCGCGTAGTCACCTGCCCACCATCCTGCGCCTCCAGAATTGCAGCCTGATACTTCGGATGTACCTTGACCTCGCTCGACGCCAAAAACCTCGTCCCCATCACCACACCCTGCGCCCCCAGCGCCAGCGCAGCCGCAACACCCCTCCCATCTACAATCCCCCCCGAAGCCACGAGCGCAATATCCGCAAAACCCGCCGCAGCCAACGCATTTGTCGCCTCGGGCACCAGCGAAACAATCGAAGCACCCTTCTCAAACCCATGGCCCCCTGCATCCGCACCCTGCAAACAAAGCACATCTGGTGTCGCCTCCCTCGCCACCTCCATCGCAGCAGCTACACTCCCCAACTGCACCCACACCCTAATCTCCGGCGAAACACTCCTTACCGCATCAACCCACTCCTTATACGCCCCCAGCGTCTTCGCCGCAAACAGCCACACAACCGCTGGCTTATACTCTCTCACCACATCCAGCACCTCGGCCAACTCCATCGCAAACGGCAGGAACCCCACGCCCACCTTCATCGTCCCTTCTCCGCGTGTCTGGCCGAGTAATTCAGCAGCAATGTCGAGTTCCCGCCGTACCTCGCGCATATCTCTTACTCCGCCGATTAAGCCCAGGCCGCCGGCGAGCGAGACGGCGGCGGCGAGATGGCCGCCTGCGAAGCCGGACATGGGGGCGTTGATGAGGAGGGGGGAGACGGTCCAGGGGAGGTGGGAGGTTAGTGTTGACATGGTGTGTAGAGGGGAATTTGGATTAGCGGGTCGGAGAGGAATTGGTGGTGTGGAAGAGGGGCATAGGTGAGGGTTTGGAGGGAGATGGGGTGGGTGGGTATGTAGGTAAGCGGGTGGCCTTGCGGGTGAGGTGGGTTGTTCAGGGTAATTGCTTTAGGGTGGTGGAGTTGCGCTATTACTTGTTGTGGGCCGGGGACGGGTGGTAGGCTGCTCGCTATTACTTGATAATTCGAGGAAGGTACGAGGGGTAAGCACATGCCCCGCATACCATTATCTCATCCATTACCTTCGTAGCTGAAGCAATCGGCAGATTTAGTCATGGGTTATATAATTTGTAACTTTTTCGTCTCATATCAAATCGGCCTGGTGGTGTAGTTGGTTATCACGTTCGCCTCACATTCTTTCATCCCATGTTAGATCGGACGCGAAAGGTCCCGAGTTCAAACCTCGGCTAGGTCAATGTTAAAACTCATTGAATTTGACATCTTTTTTGACCTTGATATCTTCATGTCCATAGGCATCGGCACGTGTGGTACATTAGTTCTTTTTTTTGGTCTTCGAACTTTGACACGAATGGGATGAAACAGGACTCGGTAATTCACTTCCACCTTGCACCGAAACCTCACACTATCCAACTCACCCACTTGTTCCATATACGTAGAGATGACCAGACCGAAATAAATATTGATTTTTTTTACTCAACTGTACCAACACACCTACTGAAATGACAAACCCAAAAGATGCGGCTTCCTCTTCTCCAAATCCAAAATCATCTGCCCCATCAAGCCATTCGCCCAGCTGAACCACTGCCGTGACCAAACTCTCGCATTCCTTGCATCCACACTCTCATGCATGAGGCCCAGGCCATCCGTACTTTGCAGTAACCACTTTAGATTCCTGGTAATCTCATCATCATCTTCGGATGTCAAAATCGTCATGATAAGCGCCATGGGCCACGGTTTACCCGGAAGCGTATGCGGGCTTGCCACGCCTGTTATCGCGGGGCCGATGGCGTAATAGGGGTTATCTCTGGATAGAACTTTGGCTCTCGTGTTTTTGTAAATGGGGTCGTGGATGGTTGTGTATCCTATGTACGGTGCTGATAAAAGCGAGGGAACGTTGGGGTCATCCATTATATTAGCGCCGCCGTAGCCGTCGACTTCGTAGGCGTAGATTTTGCCGTGGGTGGGGTCGTTGGCGAGACCGTATTTTTCTATGCCGCGGTTTATGCCGGTGCTCATTTGTTGCATGCGGGTGGTTAGGGTACCGGATGAGGAAGCTTCTACGCGGGACATTATGGTGGAGGAGGTGTTGAGGGCGGAGGAAAACATCATGTTGGAGGGGATGAGGTATTGGTAGGTACAGGCGTCGTCACTGGGACGGTGGAAGGAGCGGACGAGGCCGAGGTTGCCGCGGTGGGGGCTTCCATTGCAGTTGTTGATGGGCGTACCGCCATAGGGTGCGCAGTAGGTGTATGGAGTGTGCTGCCAGACGCCGTCCTCGGAGTAGCTGTCGATCATCATGCTTTCTGCCGTGTCCAGGATGAGCTCGACGGCTTTGGTCCAGTTGCTGGACTTTTGGAAGAACTCGTAGTCACGTGTGACGGTTGCATAGTCGGTTGAGAGTTGCAGGAAAGAGGCGACAGAGTCGAGTTCCCATTGGCAAGAGAACACTTTGAAGTAGTCGTATGGCGGAGTGATGCGATCGTCATTCTGGCTGCTTCTTTGCGGGATACCGCTCTCGTCCGGGGCTTGAAAGGCGTTGCAAAAAACGTTTCCGAGAATGTAGCGCGCTTGGAGGTTGATGGCGCCACGGAACAAACTGGCAAGACTGTCGTGGCTAGAATTGGACTTCAACACGGACAAGTAGGCTTGGAGTTGGTTGGCCGAGTCACGCAGCCACATGGCCTGGATATCGCCGGTAATGACAAAAGTCAACTCCTCTTGCGTTGTGGCATTGTTGGCATCTTTCGAGAGTCCTCGCCACCCAATTGTCGTGTCCAATGTGCTTGGCCATGTGTTTTCAAAGAGCTGTTTGACGCGTCAGTAAGACACTTGTTGTACGCAGAATCAATGGCGAGTCAGTACCCTGAATAGATCGGGATCTTTAATCACGTCGCGCAATCTAGCAATCGTCTCCTCAACCTCTGGGGCGCGAAAGGTCCTGCACGGCTCAATGGGCCTCGCATAGCTCAAGCTCCATTTTCCTGTGGAGAAGGGTTCGTGGCGTTGGTTGGCGTAGTTCTGGTAGAGCGGGCACTGGGCGCTTGACAGGGGTGCCAGCAGAAGCGAAAGCCACGGGAAAATGGCGGCTACGTGCGACTGGCGCATCGCGCAAGTGGGCAACGGGAGTGGCGTACAATGATATGCGTGGAAAGAGGATGGATATAGAGAGACTGGACGAACACGTGTATATGAGGATAAGCAACGTATCACGACGGTATCTGGCGCATGATACTTGGGACACCAGGGGTTATATTGGAAGCCAAGCTTCAGCGGGTCACACCTCTTGGTCCAGGACCGATACTAGCGATTGCTTCGATAGTGGATCGGCAAAAGTAATAGTACAACCCTATAAAATAGCAGCGGAGACTTCGGAGGCTGCATACCAGAAGAGCGGGGTGACTAAGGCGCACGAGCCGGTGGGAGAGGGGGTTCGGAGTTCTTGCAGACATGTCGTAGTGTCAGGCCACATCAACCTGGACAGACAAAGTTTCTACATTCATTTCTCATAAGCGCTAACTTGAGTTGGGTTCACAGCTGCATTTAATCTATCCTTTGACAATGGCTCTTACCCTGTTCCTCTCCTCGAGGTCAAGCACCCAAGAGATCCCTGATTCGCCAGCAGCGTCGTCAATAGCGACTTGCTCAAACTCGTCATCTTCCATGTTCAAGATCAAGGTCATTTGCGTGCACTTTTGGAACGCATCGCGAAGCGCATAAGCACCACCACTGGTAGCGGCTGTGATGATGCCCGCAATGTCCCGCTCGAGCCGAACCGCCCCGAGTTCATTCACCCTGCCGTAGTAACTCTTGATGCGTTTTTCTAGTGCAGAAGCAAGATAGTTCAGGCCAAGGCCAAGAAGACGGTCGAAGTTTGCTGCGGTAAGGATGCGTTTGATTGGGCGAATGACAACACCCCAACCGCGATCAAAGCGAGCCTTGACAATGTCGGTATCGTCGGTATCTTCGTCATCGTTTGCGTCTTCACCGCCAGGGTCATATCTGATATCCCTGAAGGCCTCAGCTAATATTGGCCGGATGCGAGGCTTGAGAACGTTGGAGAACAGAACCGTGATGCCGTCGTTGAGCAAATCACCACTCTTGGTGGCAAATGACTTTTCCATTGATTTGAGGGTGTTTTCGACAAAGGTTGCATCGTGCCCGAACGGGAAAAGGTCTTGCAAGGGGGAATGAGCATCTTCTTGACCAGGTTGCGGTTGGATGCGTAGCTGCTGCTGAACAATACGCTTGACATAGTCGTTGGCAATGTCAAGATTGTTGATCAATACCAAAAAGGCAATGACCTTATCCTCGGGTGGGAGGCCGCCCTGGATGACAGACTTCGGATAGCTTTCGTCCCGCATCTTTCTTTGTATCATACCGATAAACTCGGCGCCTAGAATATGGCTTACGGCGGGCACTACACTAGCCACAACGGCCCGTTGCGACGTGGCGAGTGTCCTTTGCAGAACCTGGTTGACGATGTACATGACGTCGTCAACAGCTGATGTTATAAAGGGCGGGTTAGACCCAAGGGGCTTGTTCGGGTTCAGAGTGAGATCAGACGGTGACTCGTCCAGCTGAAAAGCCTTCTCTACTGATCTGCGGAAGAAAAAGGTCGTCATGGCGTTGACTGGCTCAATGAGGTGGCTGTTGACCTTCTTGTGGAGGTTGCTGGTCGCGAGGAAATTGGGCATGACCAAGCCATAGTCGATGTGTTCTTCGGGCTCAGCGGGCTGCATGTGTGAGTAATGGATTGGGACGACGTCATGTTGTACTTACTGCACACTTGTCGGAGATGAAACGAGCATACAGAGCATAGCGGCCTAGTATGAGGGCGCCTTCGCCGAGCAGCGCGTCAATCTCCTTCATGTCGACGCCTTCGTCTTCACTTGTGCGAGGCACACCATTGGCTGGTGAGCTTGCGCGAGGTGTGCCAGAAGAAGGCTTTTGGGCTGGGAGAAAACTTTGAACTAGGAAAGAGAATGCATAGGATTTGATATCAGTCAGTTTGCGGTCAATGTGACGTTCTTCATGCCATGTGTCGAGCACGATGCCGCCTTGGACATCGGCTTCAATCTGCAGACGCTCAATAACCTTTTGCATCATGCCCGGGCCATAATGGCGCTCTACTAGCGGCTCGTGTCCGTCTACAATCTGCGCAATGTGCTCAAACAGCTTGGTGATGGTGTTGCCGTAGAAGAAGCCTTCGTTCCTCTGGGCTGGCGAGGCCGAGTTGAAGTTTGCGCGGGCCCTCGAGGCTACACCCTGGCAAACATAGCGGCCGTACGCATCCAAGCCAACGTCTGTCCTCCCAATCAAGGGGAACAGCTTAAAGAATCTCGTTACCTTTGAGCCGTCGCCGTCCTTTGCAGCCTTTTCAAACTCGCGCAGAAAGAGACCGCAGAGGGATTCGGCAGCGGCGTCAAGTGTCACTCGTGGGGGGTCTGGCACTTCTGCCGTGGGCACAATTTCCTCCGCAAAACTACCGTTTACGACATCGTCGGGGATCTTTGCAGCACGGCTCAGGTAACCTGCAGCCGTTTCCCAGTCCTGGGGCGCGCCCATGGAGCCGTGGACGCCCAGGACGCAGGCCTTGAGCTCGGCCACCTGTTCGACGACGTGCAACGTGGCCTTGACATTGGACTGCTCCTGGTCCAGCCGTTTGACGGCGCCTGAGATGCGAGTGGCAGTAGAGGCAGCATCGGACAGCATGCCGTTACTGATGGCGCGCGTGTTGACGGTCTGAGTGCCGAGATGGGCGCGCAGCAGATCCAGACGGCCGAGTTCACGGGAGAGGTCCTTTTGGGAGGCGATGAGGGCGTTTAGCTGGCGCGTCACGGCGGCCTCATGGTCATGCAATTGGCTGAGGGCGGCATGGATCTGGGCCACGCTGGCAGCAGCAAAGATGTCCTGGGGATCGGTGATGTCAACGGCCATGGGCGGAATTGCAGCAGCAGCAGCAGCTTCGGGGGCAGACTGGACGGGCGATGGTGGAATTGTAGTCTGTGGGTGGTGGGTGGAGGCTTGGCTGGTGACGTCTCATGGAGCATCCTGGCCTCCGTTGCCCGTTGCCCCTGCAGCCAGGTCAGATTCCTTGTTGACGGGCCGGGGATGAAACCAGCTGCTCGTAAACATGCCGTCTCGCCGCCAGTCGAAGATTCCTGCTGTCTCGCACAAGTCGCAGACTCTGCATTGTCTATACATCCATTCGCACATACACAATCTTGCCCCCTCTGTCACGCGCCCGCACTGTCGCGAAAACGGCCGGCTGAGTCCTCGCAACGGCCCTGTCCTTCTAGACCATCCTCCCATTCGCACCACGACGAATACGATTACGCACCAACGAGCCGCAGCTGCACTCGACGCCTGCACCTGGCCCGTACCATATTATTATTCACAAACCACCACCAACCACAACAAGAACAAGACAGTGTCGTACCCTCTCTTCCACCTCGTCCTCCCTCGTCCCCTCTTCCTCCCCTCTTCCCCCCCTCTCTGCGCCGCCTTCACCCCCGCCGGACCCTGGGCCAAACAGACTTCCCAAAACATCAGCCGCTGCACAGCCCAGCCTCGTGCACACAGCCGCCCCAGCCCACGCCCACGCTTGCGCCTGCGCCCTAGCACACACACCCTCCATGTTGCCACTATAGACGACGCTCTCAACTCACGCATTCCCACGAGGGCGATCCCCCCAGTGCGCCAGCAATTGTCACCATCGGCTGCGACAGCCCACCCAACACCATGGAGTCGACCGCCCACCTCCTCCATGCCGCCCACGAACTCCACGCCCGCGCCGGCGGCATGGGCGGCAACACAGCCAACCGCCCGGCTTCGTACAAAATTATTGGCCTGGTCTTGGCCATCTCCTCCGGAGTCTTTATCGGCTCATCCTTTGTCATCAAGAAACATGGCCTGCTGCAAGCCAACAAAAAGTACAATGAAGAAGCAGGCGAGGGCTACGGTTACCTCAAGAACGCCTGGTGGTGGCTTGGAATGACGCTCATGATTGTTGGAGAAATTTGGTACCCTACACTTTTGCGTATGCTGGCCCAGGGCTCCACTAACTTGAGCATAGTAATCTGGTCGCATATGCCTTTACCGATGCCATTCTCGTCACCCCCATGGGTGCACTGTCGGTCGTTATTTGTGCCATTCTCTCTGAAATATTCTTGAAAGAACGCCTCAGTTTCGTCGGAAAGGTAGGCTGTTTCAACTGTATCGTCGGCTCTGTTGTCATTGCCGTCAATGCGCCCGAACAATCGTCCGTCGCCCGCATTCAGGATATGAAAAAATGGGTCCTTTCTCCTGGATTCCTCAGTTATGCTGGAGTCATTATTGTTGCATGCGTCGTCATCGCTTTGTGGCTTGGCCCCAAGTATGGGAAGCGAAGCATGATGGTCTACATCACCATCTGTAGTCTGATCGGAGGCCTTAGCGTTGTCGCAACCCAGGGCCTCGGTGCCGCTGTGGTAGCCCAGGCTTCGGGCACCTACGGCGGACAGTTCAAGGAGTGGTTCCTATACGTGCTGCTCGTCTTTGTCGTAGCCACACTGTTGACAGAAATCATCTATCTCAACGTAAGTCGCCCATGTCTTGGCCCGTGACTACTACTAAGCTTTGCCCAGAAAGCCTTGAACCTGTTCAATGCCGCCCTGGTAACACCAACGTACTATGTCTTCTTCACTTCTGCTACCATTGTCACCTCGGCCGTCTTGTTCCAGGGTTTCAAAGGCACGCCCCTTCAGATTGTAACTGTCATCATGGGCTTCCTTCAAATTTGCGCTGGAGTCGTGCTACTGCAACTGTCCAAGTCGGCCAAAGACGTCCCTGACTCGGCCGTCTTTAAAGGCGATCTCGATCAGGTCCGCACTGTTGCCGAGGTGGAGGAGCCAGAGTACGAGCCACGCGCTGATACCCTTCGTGGTGGAGCCGCTATCCTCAGGTCGCTCTCCAAAGCCCGATCCCACAAGGAGCTTGCCGAGGCTCGCAAGATCCAAGAAGAGCACATGCAGCCCATTGGCGAAGGCGAACAGGTGGAATTTGACGGTATCCGCAGACGCAAGACCGTCATTGACCCCAATCGACCACCGACCCGGAACACTACTATCGTGCAAACCAAGGCCATCCACCCTCCACTTGGAATGTCTCAGTTTCCGACTGACGATTCTGACGAAGATAACGACAGTTTCCATCCTGGCTTTTTTCAGCGTTTGCGCTCGCGTGGCAAATCAACTAGCAGTCGAGATAGCGCGCATACACCTGTGCCCGGCATGGACATGCACCCACTACCACCCATCCCCCAAGCCGACGGTGCCTCAGAGCATGGATCCGACGGTGCATCCTACAAAAAGAGCTTGATGACCCAAGACACATCCTACAAGCCGCTTGACCCCCACATCCAGTTTGCCACTCCCCCATCCCGGCACGGTGGTTCCGAGTCCCCATCGCTAGCCCCGCCAACAACCAGACGCCAGTTCTCCTTCCAGAATGTTTTTGGACGCAACCGTCCAGACTCAACTGGCGAACCCATGTCATCATCTAGCAGCAACAAACCCCGCCCAACCAGCCGCCACAGTCGCAAAAGCAGCCGTGATGTCAGAGGTGGTAACGCCACAGAAACCGAAGAAGAGCGCCTCGGACTCGTAAAAGGCGACTCGTCAAATCTCCTCCCAAGCATCAGCCGCACTAGCGACGAAGATGACGAACTTCATCCCGGACCAAGCCCCCCACGCTATATGGATGACTGGCAACTCCCGCGCACAGAATCTCCGGCATATGAGCCCGAGGTTCCTGTGTCACAGCCAGTACACTCGCGGACCCACAGTCATAGTCGAAGCAGTAATCAAAGCCAGAGCCGCACAAGACCCAGGAGGGCCGATAGCGATGAGCCATATGATGTCGAATTTGAAAAAGGGGGTGGGTATGCTAGATAATCTCCGCATGCGCCAAGTTTGTGCGTTGAACTAGATATACACCAAACTTGGGGGTTTGGAAAGTTACATGTATGTTGTGTTCGTCTCCTTTAGCGAAAGTTTTTGATCTTTTGTTTTGTTTTTCGGTTTAAGAGCTGAGTAAGTACGCCTATGTGAAAGAGAGGGAGAGAGAGCGAGATGACTAGACGACCTTTGTTTTTTTCTGGCAATGTCAATGTCGATGTGGTTAGCATAGCGAGCGAGGCCGCTTTTGTATTCTCCGTCTTTGGGCGGATGAACAGACGGGGATTTTGTACATGTACAGTTTCACATTTACAATGCGGCTATGCAATGGATAGGGATATATACATGTGTATGTAGAAGAAAAGGAAATGGAAATGTGTAAGGCACAAAGGAAGATGGGATAGCATAAGAACACAAATAATTAGTCAACTTAAAAAATGGCAAATAATAAATTTCAAAAATCAAATCATGACAAGAGGGGGGTAATTAAAAATACATCAAAGTGAAATTTGTTATAGTGCCGGAATGAAAACAACCTAACATAACCCATGCCCCTCTTCCTCCTTTCTAAATATGCCTTCATAAAAAAACAAAAGTACAACAGTAAGCAGCACAACACACTCATCCCTCTCACCACCCACCAGCCCCTCAGAAAAAATCCCTCACACAATCTCCCCCTCATCCTCCAACCCCCCTTCGTCTTCATCCTCCTCCCAATCCACATCCGCCGCCGCCTCATCCGCCTTCCTCTGCACTTCCTTCAACCCACTCATTTCCTCAACCCACCCCCTCTCATTCAACGCTTTCTGCACAAACCCCCAAGGGTCCTCGGTGTACGCATCCAGCACCTGTGGACTGCACGCGGAGCAGCAATCAAAAGGTTTGCCTTCGACTTGGAGGTTGGAGAAAGTGGAGAGGTAGCCGCGGATCGTGTGAGGGATTGTGCCAAGGGGGTGTTGGAAGGGTGGGGGGAGCGAGGGGTGGGATGGTGATGCGGGTGCTGAGGGGGATTGTGTGGTTTGGTGGGAGGGGGGTGGTGCGAGACCTTTTGCGGGGTGTTGGAGGATGGAGATGAGGAGTTCGACTAGGAGGCTGGAGGCGAGGGGGGCGACGCCGGGGCGGGTGACGGTGCATTGTTGGTCGAGGGTTGCGTTGCTGAGGGACTGGTGTTGGATGTGTTAGTTCGGTGTTGCTTGATTCATTCATGTGGAAATGGTTGTTGCTTACGTCTGCGGGTGCAACAACGTCGTTGCAGAAGTAGCAGCCTAGCTCTACCTCGTTCTCCTGCGTTGCTTTCAGGCCGTGTCGCATGACGACGTAGGTGTCGAATCCCAGAGCAGCGTTCAGCACAATCTTGCCCTGTGCCTTACCCATGACGGTCGGCAGCCATCTGCTCTCTCTTGTATCCATGAGCAGGAAAATGGCATCGTGTTCAGCAATCAGTTGTTGCAACTTTTCAAACTCTGTCTTCGTCGTTGCGGCATCTGTCATGGGGTGGCCGAGCATGGGAACTTGCATGACATGGCCGTTTGCATCCACCCCTGGGTAGATCTCCTTCAGAGCCTCCGCAGCTCTCTCGGCCTTTTTCGCTCCGCCTTTCAAACAGTCTTGGAAATTAAACAGGGGCTGTCGCACGGGATTTGAAAAGCTGACGGTAGCATTGTCGATAAAGGTAATCTTTCGAACACCCCATCCCATCAGCGTACGTGAGACATACGTGCCGAGCGTGCCTGCGCCGAGTAATAGACATTTGCAGTTCTTGATGACGTCCAGATCAATCGAAGGAGCTATGCGCCACTTGATGAGCTTGAGATTGAGGTCCACGGCCTGATCTGCCAACTTGGTCTCATCCATATACTCTGATAAATCAACATTTCTTGAAGTAAGCTTTCCTGTTTCTGTTCGCTCCCATCCTGTGACTTTGGGTAGTGGCGGGGTGCTCTTCTGCTCTAGCATGGGCGATGTAGGCGTGGCATTAGGGTCTGGGTCTGAGCGCAGCTGGAGAATCAGCGAGTTGGATTGGTCGCGCCGTGTATGCGTATCGCGGTAACACAGAATCTGGGCATCATTCAGGCTCCATCGGTGGCGGATCAGTATGAGAAGGTTACGCAGCGGCCAGCCTGGGTTTGTCTCGTATGTCGAGGGGTCTGCGAAACATATGAAGCGGTCCTGACTATCCACCTTGTCGAAAAATCCCTTTTCATAAGCTTCCAGTCTGCCGACACCCCATATGTAGCCAAACTCTTCCAAGGGTGTGACTGGTGTCTTTGGTCTATCTTCACCATCCCCGCCTCCGCGTATGCGCTTGGCGAGGAAGAAGCCTCTTTGGCGCACATCAGAACTGTACCTCCATGTCTGCACGGCGTCGACAAGGTAAGTAGTCTCTCTAGGCTGTAATCTCGTCACTTGACCTATCTGCTTCCAGGGGGGATCTGACTGGATGGCTGGGAAGCCAAAATGGTAAGTGAACTTGTACTTTTTGAGGTTGGCGAAAATGATTGCTGTGAAGGAGGAGAGCAGTGAGGGACATTCGTAGATGGAGCCGTCGTGTATGGCGTCCCATATCTAGGTATAGTCAGCAGACAAGTTGGTGGCTGAGAGTGGACAGGCATACTGTCTGTGCAGAGCGCTCAAGTATGGCAGCGCGGTCAAGGCTCTTGTAGTCCTCGATGGTGTTGCAGTTCTTGATGATGCCTTCGGCGCGACAAAAGGTCGGGGGCGTGCTAACGGGGTGTTAGGCGTGTAGCAAGTATCGGCATGATATGGCGTACTCATCCGATGTCAGCGCATTGGGATGGATCTGAATGCGCATGGAGCGCGAGGAGTGCTCCGCGGGGCGAACCTCGTACAGGCCCAGCACTTTGCGCGCTGAGTCGTCGAGCTTGTCATGGTTGATTTTGATATGAGCAAGGGCGGCATAGAACTGAACATCGACGTCGCTCATCCAAGGCGCGAACTTGAGGGTCGCCATGGTGGGTGGTAGTGGGGCTGGCGGGGTGTTGGAGGCGTTGGGAGAGGGCGATGGGTAGAGAGCAGAGAGTACACTGTCTATGGCGTGCAGGTCATATGGGTGTATGTATGTAGGTGCGTATGTAGATAGATAGACAAGACCAAGGCAGAGAGCGAGGCACGTGAAGCTGTCAAGGGAGCGTGATATGTGCTGCTGAGGGCTTCAGGCGGCCATCCATGCGCATGTCATGCCCTCCCCCGCCAGGCCGTCACATACTAGGCGGGGCAGCGTTGAGGCGCGTTCCTGCAGCCGCACACGCGCGCTAACCCGTCTTCACCGACACCGACACCGACACCGACACGTCGAGCTTCTTGTCAACCCGCCTCTCCTCCTTCACAGCAATCATCCATCACTATGCTTATTGGAGTGTGTGGAGGCAAGAAGCTCGCGAGACTCGCCGGCCAGTTGCTGACCAAGCAGCAGGAATCTGCGCGGGCAAGTCCGAGATAGCTTCGTGCCTCATCGACGAGTACAACTTCATCCGCCTCCGCCTGGCAGGCCCTTCTGCAAAGCCCGACAATGACCAGTCTGTCTCGACACAAGCTGTCGTAGATCCCCAGTACACATTCCAGGATGTCGACTCGCTGCTCGACTTCGTCACGCTGAGATGGAGGGAACGATGGGTCACAACCGACATATGGGATGTCTCTGTCGTCGACGCTCTGTTGAAAAGGCCTTTCTTTTTGCTTGTTAGTGTCGATGCACCTGTCAAAGTGCGGTGGCAGCGGTACCATGATCGCTGCACAGCAAACGGCACTGCTCCGCCGTCCATCCTCGACTTTGTCGCCCAGAACGATGACCATCAGTTTGCTCCAAATACAGGCCTGAGTGGATTGTCGTACCGAGCACAGCTCAACCTTCTCAACAGCACCACTTCGATAGACTCTCTGCGCGCTGCCATACGCGTCCTCGATCTCACCGATGAATCCCGTCTGCGTCCAAGCTGGGATCAGTACTTCATGCAGCTGGCCGATCTGGCAGCACTGCGGAGCAACTGTATGAAGAGAAGAGTTGGTTGCTGCATAGTTCGGGAGAAGCGTGTGATAAGTACTGGATATAATGGTACGCCACGCGGCATGACCAACTGCAACGAGGGCGGATGTATGTGTACAACTGACGGACCTTTTGACTTTATGTGCTGACCGCCTCCAGGTCCTCGTTGTAATAATGCTGCAAAAGGAGGCTCTGGCCTCTCGACCTGCCTCTGTCTTCACGCTGAAGAGAATGCCCTACTCGAAGCAGGCCGCGACCGTATCGGCGGCAGCGCTATCCTCTACTGCAACACATGTCCCTGTCTGACATGCAGCGTCAAGATCACCCAGGTCGGTATAACTGAGGTTGTATATAATCAGGGCTACTTGGTGGATGACCAGACGGCCAGGATATTTGCCGAGAGTGGCGTCAAGCTGCGGCAATTTTCTCCGCCCACTGGTGGCCTGGTTGATTTGGGAATAGGGTTTGCTGGCAAAAGATAAGAGAGTGTGTGTCCGGGTGGGTACTAGTTAGCTGGCTGTGACTACATCTGGTGGACTATGACGCCATAGCGACCCTGTGATGTTGCTAGAGGTTCGATATGGAGACATTGGAATGCAGGCGTGACGAGGTCGCCTGAGAGATGGGTAATGGCGTATTTGCCCTGGACGTTCTTGGAAGGACCACGATATCACCGAGGTGCTAGAGAAGGTTGTTCTATACGACACAAAAAGCTTATGTTATTTCCAGAAGGATGGAAAGTTCTGAGAAAATGGCATCGTGTTGATCAGCCAAACAGCGACTTAGGGCGGTCTGTAATGGCGCGGAAACCTACGGCAGCCGTTGCGCCACATGTCACCTGCCACATGCGTGGCGCCCATACGCGAACCTTGCCGCACCTGCCATCATCTTGTCATCGCACCGTTCCACTTACTCGCGCAGACACCTGTTTCGCCAACAATGGTCAGATCGGCTGCATTGCCGTCGTCTCTGATACAGTCCTTTAACTTTAGTACAGATTGACTTTACATAGTATATTATATTATTATTCGTTTGCTCTGTATGTAGTGCTTACCGCCACCGGCCCTTTTGTTCTCTATCAACCCATGCAGCCAGGATTTTGACCGTTCACCCGGGCCACCATGTCAGAGCAAAACATGTTTCTACGGGAGTCAGCAAACCTTATTTAAAATGATGAGCAGACCCAACACCTGCCCCATCTCGTATGTACTTACGAGCACGCATTTAGCAAACAGCTTTACAGACGGGACTACGTATGCCTCCCTGCTATGCTATCTACCTATTGTAGCAGGTGGGGGTCATGATGCTGTACGCCGGTGAACAAGCTTGACCAAGCATCCACAAGCATTTCCTTCCGAGGATCATCGCTCCACTTAGTCTGGGCACCAGGAACTACTACCGCGCACCTTGCATGGATATCCTCCAATCACAATCTCTACTTCTACGGCTCCATCGTACGTTTCCGGAAGGTCCACAAGCTCTGCTTTATTGGCGACTGCATCATGCTCTGTGATTGCTTATCCACTATCAACCTCTGCCCGATGGCACGGCCTACGCGGCCTGCACGGCTGACATACTGGACGCTTGGATTTTCACGTAGAGCATCTCTCCTTCTCTTCCGGGATAAGTGCCGGGGTGCTTGTCCAGCCGCCATGCCTCGTGCTTGGTCCTCAAATACCGCTGTTTGCCTCAATTCACTGTCTCCAGCTTGGGTAGCGACCGCTCGTCTGTCAATCTCAACATGAAGCTCCTTTCGATCTTCGGCTCTTTTATCTGTGCTTCAGCAGCCCTCGCTGCAAACGGCCCTCGCTTTATCAGGCCCAACAAAGTCTATCGCTCCAATCCAGTCATCGAGAAGCGTGTCCCTGGACAGGACTTTCAGAACCCAGAGATAAATAAGAGGGCTCATACCTTTCTCAACGCAAAGACCAAACGTGAGTACTGATTTTGTTGCCTCGCGTATATACACATATACTCATTGCTCTTAGCCTTTGCTGTTGATGGCAAGCATTTCCCTTTGGTCAACTTCGACTTAGGCGAGAGTTATGCCGGATTATTGCCCATCTCCAATCATCCGAATGAAACACGAAAACTTTTTTTCTGGTTCTTCCCGTCTACCCTGGACAAAAGACCCGAGGAAATCGTCATCTGGTAAGTCAATTCAAGGACTTCTCCTGTACCAATCTAACACTTTCGCAGGCTTAACGGTGGCCCTGGATGCAGTTCACTCACTGGTTTGCTCACAGAGAACGGTCCGTTCTTGTGGGAAGACGGCACTCTTGGCCCAACTCAGAACCCTTATTCATGGCATAACCTTACCAACATGCTTTGGGTTGAGCAGCCTGTTGGTGTCGGTTATTCCGAAGGCAAACCCAACATCAGCAACGAAATTGAACTCAGCGACCAGTTCCGCGGTTTTTACAAGAACTTTGTCGATACCTTTGGTGCCTGGAATTGGAAGACCTACATCACTGGAGAGTCGTATGCTGGCTACTACGTTCCTTATATTGCTGACAGCTTCATCCGTGCCAATGATAAGAAGTATTTCAACATCGCTGGCATCTCCATCAATGATCCCAGCATTGGTGATGATGTTAATCAGCAGCACGTCATTATCCGGCCGTATGTCGAATTTTGGCAGAACATATTTTACTTGAACCAGACTTTCTTGGAAAGAGCCCGAAAGCGCGACCAGGAATGCGGCTACACCCAGTATTATGAAAAATACTTCAAGTTTCCCCCACCAAAGGGACCCTTCCCGACTCTCCCTAATCCACTCGACAGCACAGGTGACGTCCCGATTTGCGACCAATTCGATAACTACTACAATGCGATTGCCGCGGTAAACCCTTGCTTTAATGTCTATCACATCACCGACACCTGTCCGTTCAAGTCCACGCCGCTTGGTGGAGTTAACCCAGGAGACTATGTCGCACCAGGCACCGAAGTCTACTTTGACCGCGCAGACGTCAAGAAGGCCCTCCATGCCAACCCTAAAAGCAAATGGGTGTTGTGTACAAGAGAGAACGTCTTCGCCGGTGCCGGCGAAAATCGCTCAGACACATCTGTCCCACCCGCCAACAGCGGTGCTCTCAAAAACGTTGTAGAAAAAACAAACAACGTCATCATCGGCTCCGGAGACCTCGACATGCTCCTCAGCACAAACGGTACCCTCCTCGCCCTCCAAAACATGACTTGGAATGGTGCACAGGGTCTCTCTAGATACCCCTCTGAAAACCTCTACGTGCCTTACCACCCCGAATTTAACGCCGGTGCGCTAGCTGGCGCCGGGTACCAGGGCACCTGGGTCAAAGAGCGCGGTCTGACCTTCTACACCGCGCGTCTTGCCGGTCACGAGCTGCCCGGTTACACGCCTGGCGTCGGATACCGCATGTTGGAGATTCTGCTCGGTCGCATCCCCGATTTTAGCAGCACTCGCGATTTCACCACCCAAACAGGTAATTTTACCGGTAATACTGATCTTTATTAGTAGAGTGGGCTTGTATACCTATCATTACCTTTTTTTTCGTAGATGGCGCAGATGTTTTGTTGTAAATATGGATGTTTTTTATGAGATATTATCGCATTAACAGTACCGGATATGTTCGGGCGGACCCACTTTTACTACGCGTATACTATGACACTTGCACTCTTGACATCCTTGCTATGATCCCAGCCCGCTGTCTACCTTTTTAGTGATCACTAACTTGGCGATGTGCCACTAGCCCAGAATAGCACTACCCCTCCTTTCCGTTCCGTTCCGTCCACCCCGCTCACGAAGAGATCCTGCGGAAAGACGATTACAGCATAATCCTGCATAAGTGATTCTACACTACCACATAGCCCAATAGTGTCTGTGAGGGACTTGGCGTCATTTCTATGAATCAAATCACCGAGATCCAGCCCAACATCTCCAGCAGTACACTGAACACTACGTCACTTATCAATTCTACCTGAAAAAGATTTGGAAATACAGCCTGCCAAGCATGCTTAATTTCGTAGTATATCAGCGGATGGTTCTCGAATGCCAGGATAGGGATGATAAAGCGAGAACATGCTTAGTTATCCATTACTGGACCTGAGCATAGCTCCTACTACTCTGGCAGTTGCATGAACCTGTGTTGCTGATTTACCCTATACTTTCTCCTCTTTAAGAAACACGAATGTTCAGTTCTGAGAGAGAGTTACAGAGGTCTAGCAAGCGCTCAAAAAACTCTGTTTTGCTATGTTGCTCTACCAGAGCCAGAGATGTCTTGCTAGCCTAGCCTACTGCACAGCGGTCACGTGACTGTCAAATCACCGCAAGGGGAATAAGCCAGCAACCAAAAACAGCCCAAAGATAAAAACGACAAATGTGCCCAATGTAGGTTTTGAAGCTACAAGCTCAATTCCGCCAACAGAAGAAGCATCCCATGTGGGACCCTGAGATGCGACATGTGTTCCAGGGGGCTTTTTTTTTTGCAATAGACATGGTCACTGTATAGACACAATACGATATCAGGCTACGGAGCCGATGAATGCTCAAATTGAGTCAAGTCGTAGAACGCGGAACCCTGTATCAACCATCCATGTCAATCTTGTAACTATCCATTTTGTGACCAAATTAGCCTCGTTGTCCGACTGGCATACTCTTCTGGGCGCAATGAACCGCACAAGCGCCGTCTAGATTGTCGCTTAAGACACCTGCAGTACTTTGTTTGAACAGGCCTACAACATGTATCATGTTAATCAGTAATTCTTGAAGCTTTACAGAAAACAATCGCTTCTCTGTAGTAGGTACGTACTAAAGTACGATACGTAGGCCAAACGCTATGAGGTAAGCCGGCTCGCACTGAGTAGCAACTTGACCATTGCTATGTGGCCACCACTTGCGGCTGACATAAAGGGAGTGAGTCCCACACATTTAGCCATTGTAGAGTCCGCTCCATGATTGAGCAGCAGCTTAACTATCTTAAGATGGCCTGTTTGTATTTCCTAGGCACAGGCTTTGCGCGCTATTGCTGTTTGCTGTGCTTGCGCCTACTTCCTAGCTAAGCAGCCCAACTATATCGAGCTTATCATTATATCGTACTCTGCAAGATTGCCTTTACTCTCTACGCAAATGGATTTTATAGATAATAGCTATCAGATTGGTATTAGTCTTGCTAATTCTAGCTAACTGCTAATTACATATTCTTGTCAGGGGCAGTGACATCGCTCAGGAATTGCGTTAACTTGCGTGCAGAAACTACCGTCGCCAATTGTGTCTGGTTTCAAGCTATCACTTTTCTAAGATATATTCAGAAAGCTAGCGTATAGAGACTTCTTATATATAATACATTCCTTCATAAAGAAGCTGACAAAGTTTTAGATTAAATATGTACGTCTTGTGCTGTCTCTATTATATTATGCGGAATATACAATTATAAAGAAGTACGCTAGAATTACATAGAAACTAAAACATAAATCGCTGAAGCTCAACATCTGTCCAACGACCCACCTTCTCCGCCAACCACATGTCCTTTGCTTGTTCAGTCGCTTTACCTGCAACACCAACAGGCTCGTAGTACTCGCCGCTCTTCACCTCCGATGACACTGACGCCCACAGCTGATTCCATGCGCCTTTCTCCACCGTCATCATAAGCGGCTTACCGACCTTCAACAGCACGCGAACAGGCAGCGACGCACCATCGGCGCCTGCTTGCAAGCCCGTGTTCACGACACCCGGGTGTATAGACGCCCATTTGATGTCCCGGTGCATTTGCGCCATGTGGCGCGTCCAGAGAATGCTGGCAGTTTTACTCTGGCCATAGCGCTCCATGCCGCCCATCTGCTCCGCAGGCGTCTTGAGAGATTCAAAGACGACGCCTGCCTTGGGAGCACCTGAATGAGCGCCAGAAGATACAACAACGACGCGGACGTCGGCAGAAGGGTCACTGGCTGCGGTACTTTTCAGAATTGGAAGGAGCAGCTTCGCGAATAGAGCGTGGCCGAGATGGTTTGTACCGAACTGGACTTCGTAGCCGTCTTTTGTGACAGCAGGTGGGCATGCCATTATCCCAGCGTTGAGCATCAGGATGTCGAGACGTCGCGCCTCAGATAAGAATCGACGTGCTGCTTGTTGAACAGAGTCTAGGGAGTTGAGGTCTAGTTGAAGGGGCTTGATGACGGGCAGAATGCTTCCCCCCACTTGGGCGTGGATTTCTCGGATCGCTTCATTTGCTTTGTCGAGGTTTCGGGACGCCATCCATATTTCGGCAGGACCGTGGCGTGCATATTCGAGGATGGCTTGTTTGCCTAGACCGTTGTTGCCTCCGGTCACGATGATCACTTTGCCTTGGAGGTGAGGAATTTCCGTTGCGGGTGAAAATGATCTAGAACACATTGTGGTCGAGTTGTGGAATATGCGGATTGTAACTTGGGTATGATTGAGAGGCAGATTAGACTTTAGGGGAGGAGATATAAAGCAACGAACAAGATAGAAGTCGATATTATACTCTCAACGAGCATACAACTTCCTATTTAAACAGCTCGGCTGACTGTGTCTTACATACGTTGCACAACCTTTGGCCCTTGATAGGCTGTGGTGTCTGTTACTATAATCGGCAGCTGAACATGGTTGGTCCTCGGACATTACTTAACTCCACTAGTAAGATTGCACTTTCGTTGGCTCAGCCCTTATAGAGAACCACAATGTTATCCCAAACCGGACAAGCGCGATCCCATCAGGAGCTGCGCCTGTGCTAGCGTGGAGGGCCTGAAGTCACACTTACTTCGAAGACAAACCACGGACCGTATGTGAATGGGGCCAATCTTACAGTGTATCAGGGCTGATCGAAAACGCACAATTTTTATCTCCTTTTAGCAGCGGGTGACAAAGCGCAGACCGCTGCCCTGATTTGGCCTTTCGAGGAGATTTGTAGCGAGCCCCCATAGAGAAGTCTCACTTCTCATATGGGCCTGATATCCCACTAATTCATCTCGTTCAGAAGTTGGTCACTTAAGACATGCAATGAGATCTTTTCTGACTCGAACGGGCTGAACTCAGCATACAAGACTTCTCAAGCATTAATCAGCTTCTACAAGATGATACCTTGTTGCTTCCGCAGGTCATTTCTCATCCAGCTGTTGTTCGTGTTGTAGAGTTCTCTATCAACATTGAGGTAGTAATCCGCGTTGAGCTGGGTAGGGCCTAGTTCAGAGAACTAGGCATGTGGGGCGGGTACGTACCTTTATAATACAACATTCTATATATTGTGGTGTCGTACCACGTGACTAGCTCGTGGTATATATTACGATTTTCTTTTGTACGTAGATAGGCACCTTCTCTAGTCTATCCTTTATAGCGATTATCTTTCAGCTTATTTTATCCACTCAATTGCAGGTCGCCCCTCTGATCTTTTGAGTTCGATCACGTATCATGCCATAATATAGAGAAATTAACGTTATCTTTCAATAACTTATCAAGAATACTCGTTTTTTTAGTCGACAACTATACTTAGTAATTAGATAAGTAGAAATAGTAACATATAATCGGTTCTTACACTCTATTATAACTCCAATTCTTTCTTATTGTGACGGGCTGGTGCCCTTTGGTATTACTCCTCGATGGGATCTCGGATCGTCTCACAGACTCCGGGTGCTGCAGAGCACCCGGAGTCTGCTCACACTATCCGAACGACGCTCAGACGCCGGATCTAATCGGCCCGATCGTTGCTTAGGGAACTAGTATTGTATATAGACAGCTATGTAGCTTGGGAGCTTAGCTCCCTATCGAATACAATCCCTTGTATACCAAAGCGATTGCTCCACGGAGCGCAGCCCCTTACACTTAGAACTTATTGTTATGGGCGGAGAGGCATGACTAATGAGTATGCATTCACCTATCGTACAGAAGAAGAAAGATGAGGAAGGTAAGAGAAACTACGTAGAAGACCTTCTTATGCTTCTCTTTACTTCGTCACGTGTCCGTACGGAGGAAGGATCACGAGGTTTCCGGCCATGTGGCCCTCTAGTAGACTACTTAGGCGCAGCCCTTTACACCTATCACTACTTTTCTTTAAGTCTTTTACTTTAGCTTTAATCACCCCACTAATGCATAGCTATTAAGTAGGTCCTATTAAGCACGGCGTAGTAGACTGTAATAGGAGACTACTCGAAACAGATAATTAGGCTGTTCCTACACTATATCTCTCACTTATCCGGCTCGCACTAGAACGAAGTGTCTGCTAAAAATAACTAACTCTCAAACCGCCAAATATTTGCAGTTGATAGAATGAAGTATAGGTAGAGTTAAATTCTTCGTTAACAATAATCTATAGCTAGCTATTCGCGAGAACGTAGAAACCTATAGGATTATCGTATATAACTATCGAGATTGGCATTAACTATCTCTTGCTTAAGCAGTATACTTAGCGAAATAAGTTCTAGATGCGGGTCTGGAGGAGGACTCAACGCTAGCCTTATATTATATCTATAGCTAACTAGAATAATCACAGAGGCTCTAGCTATCGTAAAAGGGATCGAGCCTAACGATAAAGACAGCGATAGTATAAGTGTCCAACACAGTCGAGATTAGTACGGTTCCGCATACTCTAAATCCCAGCGTAGCTCTCCAGGCATATGCTTGTGTATGTGTTCCTAAGTCTCGTTACTAAGCAAGGTCGCGAATTCAGGAGCCCAATGAGTGTCGGTGAGAGAGAAAGTGGGCTTGATGTGGTTATCTTGAAGAAAAGACTTCAGCATCTTCTAACGCCTGCGTCCCACTAACAACGATAGTGGTGTCCGACCGTCCTTGTCAGCGGTATTTGGGTCGGCGCCTCTGTCAAGCAAGAGCTTTAATACTTCTTCCCTCCCTCGCCAAGCTGCCCATATCAGAGGCGTCCAACCGCGTTTATCCGCGATGTTTGGATCAGCGTCTTTGTTAATCCGAGACGAAACCATGTTCTACTGTATCATACTACACTGGATGATTGCTACTAACCAGGTGCTGGCAAATGGAATAGAAAACCCATACCCAACACTTACACCGCACCTTCCGTGGGCCATGGAAACATCACAGCATTCTCGTCCTACTAGGTCTGTTAGCTCTGAACCTCGTATGCGCTGGAGCACTAGTACCACTGTAGACTCGTACGTAGCCCAGACGACATCTATTATAGTAGTTAGAGACGGAGGGAAGCTAGTCTTCTCTCCTTCTTCTCTAAATGCTTCTATTAGCACGATCGTCGTATTTAACTTCCTCGCACTTAAATATACGTTAACGCAAAGTTAATTTTAATACCCCTGTATTAGTAAGAATAGTTTTAATTCTAGATTTAACTAACTTAACTAAAATAATACTAGCGGAAGATTTATAGTCGAATATAAAGTTTCTAGTTAGTTATAACCTATAATAGTTCCTCTACGCCTAGACTGCTTAGCTCGTACACTGTTAAGCAGGCATAGTGTTTAGTCTTAATCCTAGTAGTCTGCATGCCTAATTTGTTTCTAATGTAATGGCAAAACCGTTGACTACTTCATCACATAAGCACGCATATGGTCTGCCGGTGCTATTAACTGCTCCGATTATTTCTAGCACATCTCCCTTGGCGAATTAAACTGTACCTTTTTTAACTATTATAAGACCTACTGCACCGTTGCTAGTATTCTTAAGTAGTAGTAAAATTAGTACTGCTAGTTGCATAGTGGTATGGTCGCTCTCTATTGTTATCGCGATGATGTAAATAGTGCCTAAGTAGTTAGATGAGAAATATAGAATATTAGCCGTAACCAAGCTTTATTCGCTAGCGGTGTCTAACGAACTAATGCAGGATGAAACAAAATAATTATAGTATAAAGGAAAAGCTAACTGTAACGTTTGACCGTAACGCGCTCGGCCGCTACGAAAAATAGGATCTATAACTTAGTTACTAAGCTTAGAACAAGTCTTAGAATTTGAACTTGAAGCTATTCTTATTTTGGCGAGATTAGCGACATCCGAGCACAGGCTAGTTATTATAATAACCGGGGTTGGTCCGTTACCCCTCTGCACAGCCCCTGCCATGGTCGCCTAATTATCAGCTGCTGACCTCCGAAGTTGCTTTTAATGTCGCTTTTCCACTATCTTAGAACTGTATTACGATCTACTTGCTAACGATATAATGACTTTAATACACTACGCTGTGTAATCTTGCCTTTATCCTAAGCCCTATTTTCTTTCGCCTATGTGTTACACGGGGTNTGGAGTGCTAATACTTCTCTGGCTCGATCCGGGTTAGGGCGAGTAGGATTAGGGTTAGCGCCGTGAGAGTTGCCTGGCGATTCTTAATGGAAAAGAGTTATGGATGTAAC